CTATATATATATATATATATATATATATATATATATATATATATATATATATATATATTTTAAAATCAATATGATCCGAATTTATTTCCCAAAAACATATGTTGAAACTATATTATAACACAATGTGCTTGTATATGATCAAAGATAATTTTATACGCTAACATTTTATATATTTTCCAGTCAAATTCGTTGGATATTAAGAAGTGGAGATTTCTTCCAAGTTTTTTTTGTAATACTATAGGTTTTTGAAGATAATAACTAAAATTAAAAGAAACTGAGACAGTTAGAAAAAAACGAACTGGACTGTAAACATTTGATGAAAGAAAGCCACAATATTATATATGGAGGTCACGTAAGTACAAGTAATAAAAGAATCTGACACTAAACAGTTGATATTGAGGTATATATTAATTAATAATATATAGGATTATAGGAGTATTAACATTAATAAAACCTATATAAAAAAATATGTAGCTTTGATAATTTACTGAAATCAATGTGGCCTAAAGCTCATGTTTTGCTTGCCTTACCATAGGGCCGGGGGATCTTCTTTTTGGTATATATATATATATATATATATATATCAATCATTCCTTTACAAATATGTATATACTTTACCAAAGTTATATATTCGTAAATGGTGATTCTATATATTTTAGTTTTGTTATAACTCTAACTAGCTTGTGACTACATTTCATATGAATTACTGCTTTCAAATATGTATTATCCCGTTAACTATATATATAGTTGTAATTTTACATATTAAAAGATAGTCTCTATTAGATTAATTTTTATTTTTTTGGGGGTTGTGACTTGAGAGTAGTTTTGTTGCCTGTTCGAGACTTTTAGAAAATAGTACAGTTTAAATTTAATTAGAATTAATTTAACATTTTCTTTGTCCGGGACAAGGCATTTTACCAACTGTCCAACTTGTTTATGATTTTTTGGATATATTATTCTAATTATAACTAATTTAACATTTTCTATGATCCCTAAAATGAGTTTACCAATTTGTTTGTAGAGTTTGTATGATTTCTTGTGTGGAGCGAATAAATCTCATATAAACTGTTTTCATTCACTACAAATATACATTTATACAGATGAAAGTGATTGTTCTATGTACATTTTCATTGGCGACAAAAAAAAAATGTACATTTTCATTTCAGTAGTCAAAGTTCAAACTCTTTTCTGGCTGATGCCAATTTTATTCTGTTTCTTGTAAATGTAAATGGGTTCAGTATGTTAGTATTTGGGCCGAGACTAGGCCCAATAGAATTGGCTCAAACACCAGACTCAACTCAACTCCACAGAGCTCAGTAATTTACCAAAGATGAATAAAAAAATGTTGGTTCGCTCTGCTCGGCCAGCCCTAGCCTCCATTTGCCGCCTTTTCTCCGCCGCCGCCGCGACGGTGGACACGACGGCGGATGTAGCCGTGGCAAAGACTCGCAGCGGAGGAGGTGGAGGAGCAGTAGCGACGAAGAAAAAAGAAACCGTAGTTGGAGGAAGAGACACTCTAGGAGGGAGACTATTAGGCCTCACCTATACGAAACGCAGTGCCGTTGTTACTATACGGAAATGGAGAGAAGAAGGCCACTCCGTTCGCAAATACGAACTTAATCGAATCGTTAGAGAGCTTCGTAAGATCAAACGCTATAAGCACGCTCTTGAGGTTCGTGATTTCTCAATTTGGAATTTAATCAGTGGCTTGAATTGCTCTCTATGTGGTAATTCGATTATTTAGTTGGCTTGATTTGGAGTTCATTTTGGTAAGCTGTTGTAGTGTTATGATTTTTTGTGCAGATATGTGAATGGATGGTTCTACAAGAAGATATAAAACTGCAGCCTGGTGATTATGCTGTACATCTGGATTTGATTTCTAAAATCCGTGGTTTGAACAGTGCTGAGAAGTTTTTCGAAGATATGCCTGATCAAATGCGAGGCCATGCTGCTTGCACTTCCCTTCTCCATAGTTATGTTCAGAACAAGTTGTCTGATAAAGCCGAGGCCTTGTTTGAGAAAATGGGTGAATGTGGTTTCTTGAAGTCTTGTCTGCCTTACAATCATATGCTGTCCATGTATATATCGAAAGGGCAGTTTGAGAAAGTCCCGGTGTTGATTAAGGAATTGAAGACCAAATCATCGCCTGATATTGTTACATATAATCTGTGGCTGACTGCCTTTGCCTCTGGAAATGATGTCGAAGGTGCGGAAAAAGTTTATCTTAAGGCGAAGGAAGCGAAGCTGAATCCAGACTGGGTGACTTACAGCGTGCTAACGAATTTGTATGCTAAGACTGATAATCTCGAAAAGGCGAAACTTGCTTTAAAGGAGATGGAGAAATTAGTTTCTAAGAAAAACCGGGTTGCTTATGCTTCTCTCATAAGTCTGCACGCGAATTTGGGCGATAAAGATGGAGTCAACTTAACCTGGAAGAAGGTTAAGTCCTCTTTCAAGAAAATGAATGATGCTGAATACCTCAGCATGATATCTGCGGTGGTGAAACTTGGCGAATTCGATCAAGCCAAAGCTTTGTACGACGAATGGGAATCTGTCTCTGGAACAGGAGATGCTAGAATCCCCAATCTAATCCTTGCCGAATACATGAACAGAGATGAGATTCATCTGGGAGAGAAGTTTTACGAACGAATTGTGGAGAAAGGGATAAACCCGAGCTATTCTACATGGGAAATTCTCACATGGGGTTATTTGAAGCGTAAAGACATAGAGAAAGTATTAGATTATTTCGGGAAATCCATTGATTCGGTGAAGAAATGGACTGTGAATGTAAGATTAGTTAAACAAGTGTGCAAGGAACTTGAGGAACAAGGGAATGTTAAAGAAGCAGAGAAGCTAATGACTATACTCCAAAAGGCTGGTCATGTGAACACTCAGCTCTACAATTCTTTATTACGTACTTATGCTAAAGCAGGCGAAATGGCACTCATAGTTGAAGAGCGTATGGCAAAGGATAATGTAGAGTTAGATGAAGAGACCAAGGAGCTCATAAGACTAACCAGTCAAATGCGTGTGACTGAGATCTCGCCCACCACTTCCTAGCCTAAAAACTGCAGAATTAGTTTCGGTCTGCAACTTCCACAAACCGAGGATTACAGAAAACATATTTGGAGTGAATACATGACGCTTTTTTGTTGCAACATTGAGAGAGGAGAGCTGATCGGTATCAAGTCCTGACCAATCAAGATACTTGGCTTGGAGCAGCAATATTTCACTTTCACGGACAATTAGGGCCTGAGAGTAATCTGCCCAAAGCTGCAAATGAATGATCTTTGGTGCAAAGATCACATTGAGTTATTCCTTTTTTTGTTTTATATTTCCTCAATTTGATATGAATAAAAACTATTTTTGTATTGTGCCAATTTTATATCCTTTGTTTACTATAGTAGCGATGATGTCAAATGATCTTTGAGAGGTTGACTAACTGAAAAACCTACTTCGACTCTTATTGTTGGGTAGTTATGACTTGTGTAAGCTTATGTAAGCTACAAAGACTTGTGTCCAAAGTGGATTTGTTCATTTCCAAACAGTTAGTCAACTATTTTAACCATAAACTCATATCCATATAGCTGTATGAGCCATAAAAGCTTAATATCTTTTGTTGATAAAACAACATTGTAAATTTTGATTTTCTACCTAAATATGAATAGTCGTTTTTTTAAGCTGGTAGGTAAACTACATTGTGTATCCATAATAAAACAACCTTAAGACTTGGGATATGTTTGAATCTATATTCCTCGGTTTATTATAATTTAAGTACATGTAAAAAAACTATGATTGGCAGGTTTTAGAGCTAGCAGCCCTTACTAATAATTACTTAAATTTTATCTCCTAGATTGGTCATGTAGTCTCACGACTAAATCTTCTGACATAGAGCCAACTTGTGGTAAAAGATCATTAACTAATAAAATCATTCTTAAAAAAGAATTCGAAGAACTTGGGTTGGTTGGTGAAGGTTGTTAAGAAGAAGTGGCGTCGTTGGTCATTTGATTTTTCTAATTTTTTCAGTATATTTATATAAAAAGATATGGATTATGTGATAATAGACGACTATAAATATAAAATCAATACTTTTTCTTCTGCCCATTTTTATAACATACTGCAGTTTCGTCGAGCTTTTATGTTTACACATAAAATTGGGTAGCCATAAAAGTAATGCGATGATGAGATGACCAGAGAACAAGTAATGCGAAACTAATTTTAGTCGCAAGTGTGTTTGTTTGATACTACTACCTTTATTCGTTCATGATATAAGTTGATGAAAATAATAATAGTTTGTACTTTGTAGTTTAGGATAAACCCTTATTTATTTGTAATAACAGTTTGAATTAGAGCATTAAACATTTTTAAAAAATGTCATTAAAAAAATGGAGGGTAGGCGTTTACTTAATACAACTCAACCCACTCCCCGACATGACCTCCTTAATCTTTCTTACAAACCATACAATAATTTAACAATATAAAATACTTAAAAATGATTTTTTTTAAGAAGTAAATAAATATGGACTTTGGTGCATGATCGCCCGGTTAAAATACTTACTAAGTTTTTTATTTTATTTTTTATAAATATTATCGGCTAATCTGGTCAACTTTAATCGAAACGTACCGAAATATTACAGAATAAATTTGCGAAGTTTCTCTAAATAGTATTTTGTAATCTACTACTAATATCTATTAATGCTAACGTTACTTAACAATTACCACGCAGCTTATGTGAATATAAATCGACAAAAATAAAAAGTGAAATAGGCTTTTGAAAGTCTAAAACGATATGATTATTTTTGTTTTGTTTGAAAATTTGAAACGAAATGGAGTGTAACTCTCGTTTCTTCATCCTCGTAGTTAGTAATGATGAAACCAAAATTCAAATACTTAAAAACCATTAAACCTCTTCTTTTGTGTTGTCAACACAATAAATAATTTTCTATAAATAAGAACATTTGAATGGAAGCATTAAAATGGTCTCTAATAATGATAAAAGATAGTAAAAAAATAAAATAGCATTCCAAACCAATTCGTCATCATCGTCTCTCCCTCTACTTTGCAAACTCGTCGTGAGTAATATATTTATAGTTAAGATTCAGGTCAGAAGTTGGGGGAAATTATCAAACCTCTTCTCTTCTCTTCTCTTCTTTCTTGTTTTTTTTTTTCTCAACATAGAAACCTTTCCATTGAGTTTCTCTCTTCTTCTTCTTCTAAGAGTATATTCAAAGTGATTAGTATCTTCGTCAGTTTCAAATGGGTGAAATCATCGGTCACAAGAATAGGCAAATATGGTCACCCTCTCAAGATCCCTTGTTTGATCATTCCAATAAACATCAGGTTTCTATATCATGCATCTTAAGTTTCTCTAATGGATTCTATATGATCATATTAACTTTTTTTTTTTCTCGTTTTATATATGAAAACTGATGTTAACATTTTCATACAGTTGCATAAATCTGTCAAGAACCACCATCACCATCATAACCACGTTACCGGTGGATTCCGCCGGACCGGTGCACCTCCTCTTAGAGAAACTTTTCCTTTGGTAATATTTTTTTTTTCTTTCCAATCTTATAACGTGATTTGAAGAAATATCATTATCAACATCCGTATATTGATTTTTCTTACAAGTCTTTAGAACTAAAAGTTTTGTATAAATATTTTTGTGTGTGTTGAAGAACTATAATACAAGACAAAAGCAACAAAGCAATTGGCAAAGGAGTAAAGGAGAGGAGCGTATGCAAGCATTTTTCTTGGTTTCACCGGGACGTTCAACTTCCGGGACCGGAGTTTTTCTTCCGGCCACCGCTTCTCATCCCCCCACCAAAAAATCAGGTTATTTATTGAACAACATATATAGTCTCACAGCTTAATACATGATTTGGTGTTACAAAAAGATTGACTTAATAAATAAAATGAAATGATCTGATCACAGCTTGCTCGCCGGTGCTTCTCCCGACGCGTGTAGTTCAAGCACTCAATCTCAACATTCACCACAATGGTATCCATATTTCTCCTCCTCATCCAGGTTTTTCTTCTTACCATTCACTTTTTTCATCCGCTATAATATATAGTGCACGTTACATTTATAAAACTTGAAATACATTCTTGGTTGAAATTGTAACAATTTGTTATCTCTTGTTGTTGAAATGTAGAAAAAAATTCGAAGAAGAAGAGCGAACTGTTGGTAATGCCTATGAAAACTGAAGTTGAAAGTCCGATTGACTCGCCGGAGAAACTTCTCCCGGATGAATGGATTTACTGATGACATGATCCAATCCAACCCGACCGTTGTGCCATTGACCAACCTTACTTATTGATGTGGAAAAGTAGAATCAAATAAAACAAAAAATGAAATAAATATCATTGGAGTATTGTGTGTTGTGTATGCTTCGTTGCCCATCGGATTAGTGATAATATCCAAATAAGATCAACCCCTTTTGTGACAGTGTATATATATATATGTATAATTCTTCATTTTTCCCTTTTAATTTGTATATTTTTGTTGGTCACAATTAGCCAATTAGGGTGCACAGAAAAAAAAACATGTTAGTCACAATTTCTGATGCGAACACGAACCAATGTTATTATTATTGGGCTAATAGACCGAACCAAGAATAGTAAACCTACGAAACTTCTAGTAATAGCGCCCAGACGTTTTGACAACCAACATACACCAATCATAGGTATTGTAATAACATTATCTTATGTCGGCTTATTGGTAGAAGAATTCAGAATGTTTGGGATTAAACAATTCTTGGTTTGTAGATTCTGGTTAAAACTCATTTTATATAACTTTTAAATATATCCAAAATCTTTGTTACTCAAGAATTTAAATCTATCAAGCAAAAATAATAATATAACTAATGAGTAAATTTGTGAAAAAAAACTAATGAGTAAATTATTTGATCATCTATTGTTAATTTTACATACTTTATAATTTTAAATGAAAAGTTTTCAATAAATGTAATTGATATTAAAAAAAGTCAGATTCCGGGGTGATGCCAAGATTCAAAATCAGATTGCTAAAAGTTATTAAGGTGAATAATTTGTTTTCCCTTTGGGGTTGTTTTTGATGAATTAAAAAGTTGAGATGGATGTTTTTTTAAAGTAAAGAGAATCGGGGTGTAACCAAACCTTCGGAGGAATATGAGACCGTCGGTGTTAAGTAGAAACTATAATAATTAAAGGGTTAAAACATAAAATCCCCAATTCTTTCTTCCTCCCGCTCTAGCTTCTTTTGCCATTGCTGTTTCGAGAGCTCCACGAAGCCCTAATTTTCGTCTCTTCATCGTTCTTCTCTCACCATGAAGCTCGTCAGGTATGATTTCTCGTTTTCCATCTTACCCGGGTTCTCTCTTTATCCGGTTCGATTTGACTTTGCTTCGAAACTGTGAGTGTTTCTTTGTTTCCATGTTCTTCGCTGTTTGATTTTGGGTATCGGGTTCTCTCGCAGGTTTTTGATGAAATTGAACAACGAAACAGTTTCTATCGAGCTTAAGAACGGAACCATTGTTCATGGAACCATTACAGGTACGTTTCTCTTTAGTTCCAGCTCTTTTTAGGGTTTTGTTTATAAATCTGCGATGCTTCTTATAACATGGACCTATTTCGCTCTGAGTTAATATTTTTATGGCTCTGAACAATGGAAGCTCTCGATTCAACTTCTGAGGTGTAATTTGAGTTTGGCTTATAGTGTTTTGCCCTAGTAATGCTTTATTGGTGTTAACCCGAGTGAGACTGGTTGAGTCAGATGCAGATAATACACACTAGAACTTCCTTTGTGTGAGATTTTTGTAGCTCTTCGTTAAACTTTGTTTACCCATGAGATAGTTTAGTTTCTCCTTTATGGTTTTAGCTAATGGAGCTCTCCAATTAACAAATCCTGAGTTGTAGTAAAGTTGATAGTGATCATGCCTAACGAATCTGAGTTTAGCCGATCGTGGCTTTTGACCTAGAAATGAATTGTGGGTGTTAACTGAATGATACTGGTCTAGTCTGTTGTAGATGATACATTAGATGCTCCTTTATTGTTTAGGTGTATGAGAATGTTTAGTTCTTCTGAAACTATGGCCACCCATATCATAAGCAACACTATCCCAGAAGAAACATGGTCAATGTGTAAAACTAAAGACATATCAAAGTTGATGGGAATGAGTTTTAGCACTTGAAAGGCCCTCTTCTTTTCCTTTACTCTTAAAAATGTCTCTGAATATTTACAAAGCAGTTACACGATGGCTTTTTTTTTCATTTTCTCATTTAGTCTCGTCAACTGATTGATTCCCTTGTCCAATGCAAGTGGTCTCTGCTGTTAATGTTTGGTTTCATTGCCTTTTCTACCATAGTTTTGTATATAACGCAATTATCAATCATCACTAACTGGTTTTATATCTACTTGTGATAATTTGATGTAGGTGTTGATGTTAGTATGAACACTCATTTAAAAGCTGTGAAACTAACTTTGAAAGGGAAGAATCCTGTTACATTAGACCACTTAAGTGTCAGGGGAAACAACATTCGCTATTATATTCTTCCTGACAGTTTGAATCTCGAGACTTTGCTGGTTGAAGACACTCCAAGAATCAAACCAAAAAAGCCAACTGCAGGTAACATAACAGTTCTTTCTCTAAACTATGCCTGTGGTCTCTTTGCGTAGACTCTCATATTTTTTATTGCTCTCTTTGGTATCAGGGAAGATTCCAGCAGGCCGGGGACGTGGTCGTGGAAGAGGTCGTGGACGTGGCCGTGGTGGACCTGGTGGTCGTTGAGCATCTTGCTGTTACCAAAGTTTGGTCCTTTTTGTTTTGTAACATCAGGATTGTAAAAGATCTTGTAGTGAGGTTTGTGTCATGAAGACAAATTCTTGTTATCTCTTAATTTTTCATGATTTTGAGATTTAATACGTTATTGCCAAACTTACAGCTCTCAGTTTCATCTTACTTAACCTTTTCCCAAAGAATTTGGCAAAAAGTGAAAGATTTAACTAAGACTATATCGAAATTAATGAAAATGCAACTAATTAGGATTGTTGAGAACCTTGATAAAACCAACATCCAAACGATAGTCAGTAGAGTAATAGAGTGAGGGCACATATGGCTCTATTGCTGGTTCTGTGACATGTCTTTTGCTCTTTAGCATATAAATCTTTAGTAAAAGATAGATCACTCCAAAAGGGGATGACACTATGTAATGCACACTTCCACAGAGATTTTAATGATCAAAAACTCCAAGCAACAGAGGTGAGATGAGGTTTATTGGCTTCTGTTCACTAACCTGAAAATGCAGACTAGTTTTTGTTTTTGTTTTTAAACCTTATCGACTCCTATAGTAACAAAACCATATACAGATCCTTCAGGAGAAGCAGCAGTAAAAATTGAGGCCTATAGAACGTGTTTTCGTTCTATCATATCAAACAATATCTAATTTAGTTAACGAAAAGGGAAATACAGTAGCCACACTAAAAAGAAGGACGAAATGAACACATATGTTCAGAAAACAGACATATCATATCAATATATGGCTCCCACAGGTGAACACATTTACACAATTTCAGATCAGACCAAGACATGACCTTCCATCACAGTCACGGATTTGCCTCTAAGGAGAACCCTTTGCTTCTCCTTGTCTAGATGAATCCTAATTGTTCCACTCCTAAGTGAAGCCTAAGAAAAATTTCCAAAAACTCAAAATCATTTACAAGGAAGCACTAAACGCTACTAAAAAATTTAAAGAGATTAGAGAGATTACTTGGTAGGCTAAGAAATCACACTTGTTCATCTTGAGGCTCCAGTAATGTGCCAATGCACAATGTGCACTTCCACAAACAGGGTCCTAGAAAACAGGCAACACAGTTCACTGTTAAGAGCAAATAATTTAACGATAGTCAGCTCATATACTAAGATGCAGCTACTCTTTTACCTCATCGATTCCGAACTTAGGAGCAAAGTAACGACTGTAAAAATCATAGGCCGATCCTGCAGAACCAGCAGCTGTCACAATTATGCCATTGCAGGGGCATTTCAATATATCATCCATTCTTGGTTGCAATTCATTGACAGATTCCATAGATGGAAGCACAACCTGCAAGCGAGTGCATAAAAGAGTAAATCAAAAGTCATACAGATACCACGATGCCACAAACGCAATGACCAAAATATCAGGGTATAGAATATGGGAACAAGTATCTTGAGATCCTAAACTTAAGAAATTAGAGACAAGTCAAGGTAAAGATGTTGAATATGGAAACCAAAGATTAAAAAATTACGAGGATGTTGTTTGTCGCAGTAGCTTTGATATCAACGATGGTAGCACCGTTCAAGGCCTTGTTGATCAAGGAAGAGGAGACATCACTGAGATTAATATCAGAAGTTGGAACCACAGGAAAGTTCAACTCAATGAAGAAGGAACCTGGTTTCACTTCACCATCACTGAGCTCTGAAGTATCGGAAACACGGTTGGCTGTAAGAATCCCTGATCTTGTGACAAACTCAACCTTGTCTGTGTCAACTAAACCATTGGAGAAGAGACAATGAGCAGATGCCAAAGTTGCATGACCACAAAGATCCACCTAAAAATAACTTCTAATCACAATTAGAAGAATCGAGATAGAAACAAATCAAAAAGGGTCTCACTCTAAAGCAAGAAAATGAAAGTTACGATTTTGAATTCAGTTACTCCCAAACATTGAGCAAACAAAGAAGAAAGAACAAAACTTGAAAAGAAAGAAAAGTCAAAGGGGTCTCAGGGGAGAACCTCGGCTAAAGGGGTAAACCAGCGGAGAGTGAAGCGAGGTTGTTCGAAACCAGAGTTGATCGGAGTAAGAAAACTAGTTTCAGAGATGTTGAATTCGGCAGCGAGAGACTGAAGCCACGTGTCATCTCTCTCGTCGTCGAGGAAACAAACAGCAGCTGGGTTCCCTTTGAAAGCCGAATCAGTGAAAGCATCGACCTTTTTCAAGAAGTTTTGATCAGTGAAGAAGAATCTCAAAGCAAAATTGGAGGAAACTGAGGAGAGAATCAAAATTGGATTACCACGAAGTACTTGACACCTTTCTTCTCCCTCCTCATGATTATTGTCATCTTTTTTCTTTTGGGACCAAAACTGCTCTCATCATCATAGCAAAGCAATCACACTGTAATAACGTACAATTTACTATAATTAAATTAAATCATAAAGAGTAATATATTAATGAGGCCTATTTGATAAATAATGCCCATTAATGACTTAGGCCCAATTATTCCTAACTCATACCCTAATTTGATGTAGCTGGGCCTAGTCCAATAATACACGTCGGTCTCTAACTTCAATTTTGTTACTTAGCCTCGTAAGTTTCCTTCTTGTTGCTTTCTTTATTATTCTGCTGTGTCCTCTCTCTTCTCACACTTCTCAAGGAAGAAAAAGAAAAAAAAGAAAAGAAAAAAAAGCTCGCATCCGAATTGCGCCTTTTCCGCTTCCTTGGCTCTGTCAAACGTAAAAATCTCTGAAAGGTTCGTTTTCATCTCTTCTTCTCGATTCTGAAGATTTTGAAAAACACTTACCACCGATCATTATTATCTCAGAGGTTAATTTTGATTCTTCTGTTTCAAAAACTTTTTCCTTTTTATTTTGTGTGGTTCTGTTCAGTGTCTTATACTGTTATGTTTCGATCCCTAAATCATTGATATTTTAATCACTTAATTCTTATGAGCTCGTAGTTGTCTATGTCTTTATCTGGTTGTGTTTCGATTCTTGAATCATTAGTTTTTTTTCACGTAATTAATTCGTGTTTTACTGGGAGATTCTTAATATTCATATGATCAGGTCGTGGCTATCTTCTCTAATTTAGTTGCTTTTCTTTGATTTAAAAAAAAATTAGGGTTTTTTAGTGTTCTTTGCTAAGTCCTATAACGCATATAGTTTCTGCCTCACGCCTGTTTGATTGTTAACTTGTTTATTTGTTGAATTTAAATTGTTAGATGATACTTTTCAGTAAAGTTATTGTCTTTTTTGGTATTATTACTTAAGACAACCCAATAGCTGTTGCACCTCATGATGAATGATCGTTTGTTTTTTTTAGCTTTGTTGCAGGTTTACTTGATTTTTTTCAGTGATGGGTTACAAAACAGTTTACCGTTCTCTTACGGAGTTGTTTCCACAGGTAAAGCTCTCTCCTTTCACTCAATTTGACTCGTAGTTAGTGATTTTGGTTATGATATTTTCACAATAGGATGGTTGATTAAGTAACCTTACATCCCATATGTCTTTATTCTGAGGCATCTTTCCATTGGTTATTTTGGAACCAACTTGTATCGTTTTCAATCTGACTAAAACCACATTATACTATACAATCTTCTTCAGATTGATGCAAGGCTTTTAAAGGCTGTTGCTATTGAACACCCAAAGGATGCTGATGAAGCTGCAGCTGTAGTTGTTTCAGAGATTGTTCCTTTCTTTTACCCTAATTTGGCTGATAATTCTACACAACCTGAGATCAAGACACCCAGTGATGTGCCCAACCAAGGTTCTTGTTCTTTGCTATGATAATATTAAATTTTTCTGTTCTGTTACTAGGAATTTTGTACATCTGAAATTTGAGGATATATGCTGATATACTGGCTGTTGGAAATGCAGTAGAACATAATATGCAGAATGGTGCGTTTACTGGTTCAGAAACAAGTGCTTCTTCTTCAGCAACTGTCCCTCTGGCTGTCGAAACAAGAGCCCCAGTTACTGAATTGCTTTCTAATAGCACCCAGTTGAAAAGTGTGATTCCAAATGGTGATCTTGATATTCAGAGCAAAGCAAAGATCAGGTTGAGCGGATCGGTTCAGCCTGAAGTGGTATCCTCAGGACCCGTTAAGGCAGGAGAAATATTGACTAGCAATGGGTGGCAAGGTGTTGAGTTTCACATTACAGGTAATCAAGCAGAAGTTAGCACAAGTAAAGATTCAGAAGATGCTTTGCATAAGATGATTTTGGAGGAGATTACACAGAAATCACCTAGTCTTCAAATTAGATTTGGGAGTATTGATGTCGGGAACGAGACATCAAGTGCTTCATTGGCTGTTGAAAATAACGATGAAGAGTTGAGTGGTTCATATCACGTGGCTGAGTCATCAAAGGGCTCTTTGGTCATTGGGAATGGTGAACCAGAGCTGGGTGATTCTATGAGCTCTGTTGCTAGCAGATCAACCCAGGGATGCAACATTGTCCACCTTGAACAGATCATTGAAGATGCCAAAAGTAACAAGGTATGCTAGTATATTTTGGACAATATATAACTTCCGGGAAATAAATAATTTGTGTTTTGTAGGAGTGTTTCTTTCACGATATCTCAGTATCATTCTTTTCTTTTTTATTTTGTTATGATGTAGAGAACCTTGTTTACTGTGATGGAGTCGATTATGAACCTAATGAGAGAAGTTGAGCTTCAAGAGAAGGCTGCAGAAAAGGCAAAGGAAGATGCTGCTAGAGGAGACTTTGATACTCTTGACAAGGTTGAGGAGCTAAAGAAGATGCTGGAACATGCAAAGGAGGCAAATGACATGGTGACTTTATATTACTGATTTTTTTTTTATCCGTGCTTGTTAATGTGCTTTGATTTTAATAGCGAACTAATCATCTTTATGCCACAGAATGCTGGCGAAGTTTATGGCGAGAGGTCAATTTTGACCACTGAGGTTAATGAGTTTGAAAATCGCTTGCTCAACTTATCAGAAGAACGAGACAAGTCTCTTTCTGTTCTTGATGAGGTACATGCAGGTCACACAATTTAGATCCAACTTGATTTACTCAATATATTTCTGTTCTGGTCTTTTGCAGTTCCATTAATCCTCGCTTAACAAAACACTATTAACTTCTGTTGTTTCACACTGTACGATTTTGCTGATTTGTGTTTCTTTTTTTTAGATGCGTGAATCTCTTGAAACAAGACTAGCAGCAGCGCTGGAGATAAAAAATGCTGCTGAGCAAGAAAAACAGGAAAAGGAAGGTCGTGCACGCAAGGCATTTGCTGAACAAGAAGCAATCATGGAGAAGGTTGTCCAAGAATCAAAGCTTCTACAGCAGGAGGCAGAGGAAAATTCCAAGGTAACATTATTGCATTGAGGTTTATGGTTCTGAATCGGAAGTCACTGTTTCTTAACTTACTTGATCTATTTATGCAGCTGCGGGAGTTCCTTATGGATCATGGTCGGATTGTTGATTCCCTACAGTAAGTCTTTTTCCCTACCACTCGCAAATCGCATCAATCTCCTTGTGAATCATTAGGATGAAAAGCTGTCAATTATAGAATTTATACAGCAAGGCACAGCATTTGGAATCTGTTGATATATTTGTTATTTAAATGTTTATAATCTTATGGCGAATCTTGTCTCCTTAGTGATCTTGACTAATCCTTTACTCTCATGGTATTTCCTTGAACAGAGGAGAAATCTCTGTGATCTGCCAAGACATCCGACACTTGAAAGAGAAATTCGACAATCGAGTGCCATTGAGCCAATCAATCTCCTCAAGCCAGACAAGCTGTAAACTGGCGTCCTCCGCATCATCCATGAAGAGCTTGTTACTGGAGAAGCCTTTGGAGGCATCTTATGAAACACCTGAAGCCTCAAGCAACAACGAGAGCCTATTAGCTTTGACTAATGAGGGAAATGACGAATGTAAGGAGCTGCTGGAAGATGGCTGGGACATCTTTGACAAAGAGCTAGAACTATAAATGTCTTTAGATAGAGAAGATTCCATGGCTTTATAGAAATAAAATCGGTGTAAGAATAAAAGAGTTATGAAGGGATTTTGGGTTCTGCGTTTATTGTGCTCTATAGATAGTAAAGCTTGGATCTTTGAGCTTAACCTACCATTAGTATGAACATCTATTGAGCTCTCTTTTATTTTCTTCTCACTGTACAGTTTGCTTCTGGTACTTTTTGTTAAGCACAGTGGTATCTCAAAAGTTGTCACAGAATTTTTGAGATTTTGAAGAAAAAGGTAGAGAATTTATGTCCCTTTTTCTTCTTTTCTAAAATCAGTACTCGTATTCGGTGTTCAGATTCACAATCGAACTTTTTAAAGATTCTCTAGAGGATTTAGTTGGTGAAGCTGAATACAAATGAGGTCTAATGTCATCTGAAAAATTCGAAGAATGAGGGGAAGATGATGAAATAGTGTCCTGCCATATTATTCTCTTGTTTTCCACCTCATGATCATCTTCTTCCTCGAGACCGTTGGTTGATTCAGATATGAGTTCGTTCACAGAAGAAACCTTCAAACCTAAGATTTTCAAGGCGCCATTTTCTCTCGTCTTCTCCTCCTTTCCCGGAATTTTAAGTTTCTCACAGTCTGTTCGATTTTCTCGGCAAACTGTCAGGAAAAAAAGAAAAACCAAATCTTCACCTCCCTCTCTCTCAGGTAAATTTCAGACAGACAAAAAAAAAATCGTTTTTTCCCTGATAATTTATCTTCATTTGAATGTAATCCTACAAAATTGAAAAAAGGAAGAATAAAGTTTTGTACTTTTTTTGTATGTGATCTCTTTAACAGGATTGAGAACATTTTTGGTGAAATTTGCGTTTAAGAGAAGATGGCCTCTGTACAAGATATTGGTCTCTCTGCAGCTATCAATCTCATGTCTGCATTTGCTTTCTTGTTTGCCTTTGCTATGTTGAGGCTTCAGCCTGTTAACGATAGAGTTTACTTCCCAAAATGGTATCTCAAAGGGATACGAGGAAGTCCTACGCGTTCTAGAGGAATCATGAACAGATTTGTGAATTTAGATTGGACAACATATGTCAAGTTTCTTAATTGGATGCCTGCTGCTCTTAAAATGCCTGAACCTGAGCTTATCGAACATGCAGGGCTTGATTCTGCGGTATATATCCGCATTTACCTTCTTGGGTATGTGTAACTTCTTTTGATAACCATTTAATGTGTGTCATTGATCTTTAACACATTCTCGTGAGGCACAAGCATGTTTTGGATTGTGCTTCAGTCTATATATGTTTGTCTGTTTGTGTCCCAGATGCATTGTCTTGACACTGACTGCTAATTTTTTGTTCTTGTGTTGCAATGCAGATTGAAAATGTTTGTCCCGATAACACTACTTGCTTTTGGAGTTTTGGTTCCTGTCAATTGGACAGGTGAAACGCTAGAAAATATCGATGACTTGACATTTAGTAACGTCGACAAGCTTTCAATATCGAATGTTCCACCAGGATCTCCGAGGTATTTTACTGACATGTTTCCCCATATTTCAGTAATGCTTTAATTCAGTTCAGGGCATATACATGTTAGCACCTTGCCAAATTCATATAAAGTGGACGGTTTCTGCAAGTAATAGATATCTTCACGTAATCATCGAAGTGTTAATAAAGTTGTCAATACTGCTTTCTTTTTTACAAAGTGTGTGATGGTATGTGCAGCTTTCTATTTTATCAACTAAGACGGCTGGAAGTTTCTTGGTTCCAGGTTTTGGGCACATATAACTATGACATACGTGTTTACATTCTGGACTTGCTACACATTATATATGGAATATAAGGCTGTGGCTAATATGAGATTGAGACATCTAGCAGCAGAGAGTCGTCGTCCTGATCAACTCACGGTGAGTTATTCTATCTGTTGTACTTCTTTTTAAAGTTATGTAGAAACTTACTTCTCTTTTCCTTGCCAACTTCACCAGTGATATATCTATCTTGTATGGGGTATGTAAAATACAGCTTTGAACAAACAGCTTGCAGACATAGTATATTGGGAAACGATGCTTCTATGTATATTTTAAGGAAAAATGGTTCCTAGTGATTATAACAGCTAGGGTCAGCATTTTTCATAACCCATACAAGATAGATATATCACTTATTTAGATTATTCTGTAGTTTCTGAAATTTGGATCGGTGACTTGCTTTTTGCTACTCCTGTTTGTTCTTTGAAGCATTGCTGTCTACGCTTTTTCAGGTACTCGTGAGAAATGTTCCTCCAGATCCTGATGAATCAGTAAACGAGCATGTGGAACACTTCTTTTGTGTAAATCATCCAGATCATTATCTCTGTCATCAGGTACGTTTTATAGCTGGCTTAATGAAATTTATCAACAATATCTCGAAAACCACTAAAAGAGTGATGTTCAGAGTTATTGTTTGACGCAGAGCTCAAAGAAACTATTTGGTCAATTCACTTGAGTATGTCATGCGTTTTCTTATTTGATGTTCCCAGATAGTGTACAATGCAAATGACCTTGCAAAAATAGTCGCACAGAGAAAAGCTATGCAAAATTGGTTGACTTACTATGAGAATAAATACGAGAGGAAGCCAACAAATAGACCAACAACAAAGGTACTTCTGTTGCAAGGCTATTTTAACCTTTGACCACGTACCTCTCGTGTAATGTTTCAGCAAAAGGACTCTTTTTGAATTCCATGCTTATCATGATTTCAATTCTCGTCGGTAGTTATTTAATTTATTATATAGACAGGTTATGGAGGTTTTTGGGGAACTACAGTGGATGCAATTGACTTCTATACTTCAAAGATGGAGATTCTGGCTGAGCAAGTATGTACTCATATTTAGAAGTAGGCTTCATGCCATTTACATCTTTATAAGAAGTGCATTCGTAATTCTTTCCATACACAGGAGGCTGCAGAAAGAGAGAAGATCATGAATGATCCTAAGGCTATCATGCCAGCAGCATTTGTATCCTTTAAATCACGGTGGGGAACAGCTGTTTGTGCTCAAACGCAGCAATGCCACAATCCCACAATATGGTTGACAGAATGGGCTCCCGAACCACGTGATGTTTTCTGGGACAATCTCGCGATTCCATATGTTGAGCTCTCAATAAGAAGATTGCTCACAACAACTGCACTGTTTTTTCTTATTTTCTGCTTCATGATTCCTATAGCATTTGTTCAGTCTCTTGCCAACCTTGAAGGGATCCAAAAAGTTCTCCCTTTCTTGAAGCCCGTCATAGAAATGTTAGTCCCCATCTCTGGATGATAAACAGAAATTTTTTCTTGACTATTGCCATGGAACTTGATCGCTCATGCCATTCATTTATCCACTGCTTAATATCTATTCACGTATGTTATTCATATTTTGTTCATATGCAGGAAGACGGTAAAGTCTGTAATCCAAGGATTTCTTCCAGGAATAGCTTTAAAGATTTTTCTCATCATACTTCCGACTATTCTGATGACAATGTCACAAATTGAAGGATATACATCGCTTTCCTATTTAGATAGAAGATCAGCTGAAAAGTATTTTTGGTTCATTATTGTCAATGTCTTTCTTGGAAGCATCATTACCGGGACAGCGTTTCAGCAGCTTAAATCTTTCCTTGAGCAACCGCCAACTGAGTAAGTACTTGGTGAGATGTTCCGAATTGTGTCAATTTCCGACCCGATAACACATGAACAACGATTGAGCAATCTCCACTTCTCTCTCTCTCTCTCTTTACTTAGGATCCCGAAAACAGTTGGTGTGTCAATCCCAATGAAGGCCACATTTTTCATCACTTATATCATGGTCGATGGTTGGGCTGGTATTGCAGCTGAAATACTCAGAGTGGTTCCATTAGTCATTTTTCATCTGAAAAACACGTTTTTGGTTAAGACAGAACAAGACAGGCAGCAAGCAATGGATCCAGGTCATCTGGACTTTGCAACATCTGAACCAAGGATTCAGTTCTATTTCTTGCTAGGTCTTGTATACGCTGCTGTTGCGCCCATTCTTCTTCCATTTATTATCGTCTTCTTTGCTTTCTCCTACGTTGTTTTCCGGCATCAGGTACCTTAAAAGCTAAAAGTATCACTATCATTTTATTCTTCTAATGCATACCTGAAATATAAGCAATTATGTTATTATGACGTATCTTCTGTTGCAAGGTTATAAATGTCTACAACCAGAAATATGAGAGCGGGGCTAGATACTGGCCAGATGTGCATAGACGTTTGATCATATGTCTAATAATATCACAACTTCTGATGATGGGTTTGCTCAGCACAAAGAAATTTGCAAAAGTCACAGCTCTGCTTCTCCCTCAGCCGATCTTAACCTTTTGGTTTAACAGATACTGCGCAGGACGGTTTGAATCGGCCTTCTCAAAATTTCCCTTACAGGTGAGATGAGTCAAAAGCTCTTGCGGCAAAATCTGTCAAAAACGACTTTTATATATAACTGTTTCAACTGATTTTTGGGGCTGGCTGCATTGACAGGAAGCAATGGTGAAGGATACACTAGAAAAAGCAACTGAACCAAATCTAAACCTGAAGGAATATCTGAAAGATGCTTACGTGCATCCGGTTTTTAAAGGCAAGGACTTTGACCAACCACGAGTAGTCGATGAGGAAGAAAGCAATCCCCTCGTACCAACTAAGAGGACTTCGACTTCTCAAGGTACAAGCCGATACAACTCAGAAGCTGGTAGCTCTACTGCAGCCACTCCTTTAGCAAACAAGCACAATGACTCTCCCGGGTTAATATAACGCGCTCTGTTTGGCTCTTGTTGTTATTGTAACGGTTCAGACATTTTGTTATACGATGTTAGAAAAGATAGAAGCTTCATTGTTGTATATGTTGGGGGACAAAATTTGGGTTCCTTGGAAATGTAATTGTTGTTTCATAGATGTGATATTAACTCTCAAGACTCGTGCTTGTGCTTGTCGTGTGTATTAGTTCAGAGCTTTGTCAACCCGATTTTAACTTTTTCTACAATGTAATGTAACTATGCGACGTCGTTTGTCATATAATCTACCGTAGATAGATTCGAAAGGAAGACTTTATTAAAAAGTCAAAAGAAAGAGCTACTCCTACTCAACCAAAAGTATTACTAGCGTATTTTCTTGAAAACGTATACAAAACGTAATTTTAAAAAAATTACAGCAAGTTGCCCCAAACAAAAGAATTGAAAATTACAGCAATTTTAGGCTATTATTTTGATAAAAAAAATATTGGAAACTTAGAATTTTCATATGATAATTTTTTTTTAAACATTATAATTTTTCAATGATATTTTCAGTTTTGAAAATATAAATATCTGATAAATATTTTTTAGTGCAGATAAATACGAAATACTTGGGTATAATTATTTTGATATTATTTAGTCGACATATACGGCGTCAAAGTTTGGTTATTTGTTTTTTTTTTTTTGGGTCATATTTTTGTTATTTGTTTCTTTGGGTCGACATAGAGTCGGGTTTAGTTTTTGAATAAATCTAAGCCTCAAAAAAATCTTAAGCATTCAGCTGTCTTCTTCTTCGGTCCCTGCCAAAATCCAGAAGATTCTTAAATCTCGTTTCTGCGGCTTAGGTGAAGTCTTAGCGATAAGCTTTGTATCTTCATCTACCCATGGATTTCTGACGTAGAAGAGAAGAGAAGAACCAAGTTTTCTTCGAAAGGATTGAACTTTGTTTCTTTCTCTTCACTTCATCTGCAACAACAACAACAAAAATGATCAAGCTTTGCTTCATGACTTCTCATGGCTACTCAATCCCTGGCCTTGGTCTTCCCCAAGAGCTCTGTAACACCGAGATCATCAAGGTAACTAATTGAGTCTTCAGATTTGAATTTCATATTGGATTTGATTGCTTAAGTTATTTAGGTTTGTGTGAAATTGATATCTTTCTTCTATACCTTGTTGAATTTGATGACTTGAATTTTATTCAATTTATCTGGGGTCGTGTAAAAACTGTGCTTTTCATCTACATCTTGTTGGATTTGATGATTTGAATGCTTCAATTTATTTGGTTTCATGTAAAGTTAGCATCTTTGATTTGCTTTTGTGTCTGCATCTTATTGGATTTCGATGACCCTTGTTTTGATTATGTTATTGGTAAATGAACAAGCAGAATAGCCGGTCTTTTCTTGTGAATCCTGGAGCAAAACAAGAGATCATACCTGCAAGCTCCTTCAGTCTGAATCCTGAACCCTTGGAACCATGGAAACCGGCTTCTTCATTCAGCCAATTCGTGGAGATTGACTCAGCCATGATGAAACCTTTGCTCATGGATGTTCATGGTAAGCTCTATTGCTTCTGATTTGTTTCAAATTGGTTAATGGAATTTCATGTCATCAGTTTCACCAATTTACATGAACTTGCTTTATGGTTGATGTAGAGACAGCACCGCAATCTCTGGTTTTAAGCTTTGGAATCGCTGAGAAGTTTGCAAGACAAGAAAGGGTGATGGAATTTCTTCTGTCTCGCTCAGAGGAGTTCAAGGGAAAAGGATTCGACATGTCTTTGCTAAACGAGTTGATGGAGTTAGATGCTATGAAATCCAGTTCTCAGCTACGACCGTATGACACTTCCTCTGTTCTTTACTTGAATCAAGAGTTTGGGAAACCGGTTTTGGATCTTGTTAGGGATATGGTTGATAATCCAGATTTCTTGCTGCGGTCGGATGGTCACGTTCTATTCTCTTCGAATAGCAATCCTGAGTTGAATGATCTACTTTCTATTGCTTCCGAGTTCAATTTGTCGAGGAAGTCAACAAAGTGGAGACAACTCTCACCGCTTATCCCACACTTTCAGAGGTAAAATCTATCGCACAGACTTTACGTTTGTTTGAGTGCGTTTCATTTCTTGGTGCTAAATGTTTTCCCTATATCTTTTAAACAGGTTTGAAAGTGAAATATTAATACCGGCTAAGCTAAAAGCAGTTACAGTTCTATCACCTTTGAAGAGGTAATCTTCTCTCATCTTTACTTGCTTCCATAACTACTTACTTTTGTGTTGTTAGTGTTCTCATATTCGTATTCCCTTTTTTTGGTTCAAACAAGTCCTGAGAAAACCAGGATCAAGTCACCAAGGAAACAGAACGCGAAGCGAAAAGCTAACCAGAGGGACCTATACAAAAGAAACCATCTCCACGCTTACGAGAGCCTTCTGTCTTTAATGATAGGCAATGATCGTCAACACAAACACGCAACAGTAGTCTCTTTACAGAAATCATGCGGAGAGCTCTCAGAACTTCTGACTCAGTTTTCTATCAGTGTTGCTGGGACTGGAATCGCGGTGCTCTTCTCTGTTGCCTGTAGCCTTGCTTCAAGGCGCGTACCCTTTTGCGCAAACAAGTTTTTCGACACCGGCCTTGGTTTGAGTTTGGTAATACTGTCATGGGCTGTGAATAGACTGAGGGAGGTGATTGTTCATGCCAATAGGAAAGCAAACAAGCCCTGTTCAAGTTTGAAGGATGACGAAATCATAACTAGTGTGGAGAGAAGCATCAAGGAGGTTTACTTCAGAGCTGCCACGGTATTTGCGGTGTTTGCGCTTAGGTTTGCATGTTGAAAACAAGTCGCTGTGAGAGGTTAAAATCTCGATTTACCACTCCATGGGAAGCTTAAAAAGGGTCGTTTGTAAATTGACTAGAACTTGTGAGCTGTAAATGTGAAAGATGATGTTGTGTTGTAGAACCTAAGATGGAGATGTCAATGAATTTTGAAGAGAATAAATGTTTTGCAAGAATGTGTTTGATAACTAATCAGAAAAACTTTTGCACAGGCTCCAAGTAGTCATTTTCTTAAGGTTGAAGGTGTTGTGAGTATAATTTTTGTTTTGGTTTTGTTGTAAACAATGAATTGGGGAACCTAAACATGATTAAACCCCGGGCCTAAAATAATCTTCTTCATAGGCCCAAACCAGGCCCATAATATTGTGAGGGAAAACATCAAAGAAAGTAGGGGTTTACGATCGAGGCGATGGAACCCTAACTTGCATGAGAGAAGATGAAAACAGCGAAAGAGAAAAGATGTAAATCTAAGTCGAGGGATGAGAAACTTAGGCACCGGAAGAAGAAGAAGAAGGTGGAGATGAAAAAAAGGAAAAGGGCGAGTGCTTCTGTTGCCCCCGAAAAGCCTTCTGTAGAGAAGGAGGAGGAGCCAGAGATGAAGGATCGCGGGGAGATTACGAGTCTTGATGATCCAGAGGTGAATTTTGATCCTCTCTGTTTGTTTCTCGGAATTATTATCCCATCGTTACGTCTTCTCTCTCGCGTTTTTTTCTGTGGCAGCTTTGGGCAGAATTTGAAACGGAAGGAATTGATCGGATCCTGAGAGGCGAAATTAAACCCAAGACCTTGATCACGACTGGTCCTATCTACGCTTCTGTAAAATTCCCTCAGAGGGGACCTCATATTGCGGAGGAGTTGGTCTCGGTGTTCCCCAACTCTAAATACTTTAGGAGGAGGATTAACTCCCAGTTAACTGAGGTTAGTCTCAATAATGTTGCAATGTAATATACTTTTTTTCTCTTTTCTTTGCATAGTCTAAACTTGTTCTGTTTATGTGTATATGCATGCGCGCAGGTCATAGAATTTGCAATCAGCTATTTAAAGGAAATAGAGCCGAATGAGCCATAATAGATGGCTTTGTTTAGTTCGTATTCAATATATACTAGTCCTAAATTTGATGTGTTTTTGACACGACAAACGTTTTAAGGGCAAAAATAAAAAAACAACAAGTCAAATCATTCTAGTTTAATTCTGTAAGCTCCTTTCTAGTAAACAATTTTAATAAAAAAAAAACACCGAGTTACCATTGTTCTTTAATAATCGTTATAGAGAAATGAGACTAGGATACATGAGATAGGTTTAGGCGTTAATCGCTAATAATGAATTATAACAGTTCATAATTTTGATTATCGCTAATAGCGGTGTTCTTAGAAATATTTATTTACTAAAAATTTTACAAATCCATAAACGCCCAATTACACTTGTTACCATGGATGCATCATTGTTAACCAAAAAAAAAGAAAAGTCACAAGCATTTACTAGACACGTGAGTATTTTGGAAAAGTCTCCTCTCATTTATGCCTCTAATTCCAAAATCATCATTGATCATTCATCACTAAAATGATGATTTTATTTTATCCATAGTATATAAAATAATAAATGATGAACAGAATTATCGATGAAAGATATAATAAATAATTATAATTTATCATAAAAATTGTATCACCGTGTTGATCAAGATGGAACACTGAGCAAAAACTGTTTGATTGATAAGTTGTAGTTCAAACAAATATAGTTTTCTCAAATATGATCTAAGAGAAATTAAAAAATAAAATGAATCACTTACCTACCTCAGATGATATTAGCATAGGATTAAAATGAAAAGAAAAAGAAAAAAGTAAAGATTTACTCATACCTTAGCTGACCATATGATCGTCCCATGCACATAAGTGCAGACTTGCAGTGAGGTCTTCTGCATAATAAGACGTACGTAATAGATGAAGGTTGAGAGGTAGTTAAATCGAGGATAATTAATATGTTTTAATCCTCATTAAGAGAATCGACTAAATGTGGGTTAAGTATAGTTAGGTGTTTCAGCTCTTAATGAGGATTTTGGAGTTGATTATCTATATCTTAACGAGATGATAATTTCCCTCATAACAAAAGTTTTGACTTATTGGTGAACATTAAATCAATGATTAGTAGGATTTGGGTTTTAGTAATTAGGGGCCCTAAGTTGGGTGTAGTTATTATTGTTTGTAATTTAGAGTTATGAAATGTTAACTAAATCATGGATATTAATAAATTTAGATTTCCAAACAAAAATATTTGATATTTCAACTATAGTTTAATCTTTTATGAACATCATGTGTTATTGGTTATATGATTCATAAATATTTGTTAAAATGTTATATTTATTTATTTAGTTTTCAACCCGTAACCATGAAAAAATCAAAAATAATAAACAAAAAAAAAATAGAATTAAACAGTTTTTGTATAAAAAATAAATAAATATATTATGTGTGATAAATGGTAACAAAACAATAACAACATATTTCAAAATTTACATTGGATAAACAATGAAATAATATGTGGATTAATTCTGAAATAGCATGGTTTACGCATAATTACCATAGTGAGAGACACAATAAGTAAGCGTCTTTGTAATCCTTTGCGATTTCTTAAATATTACGGACTATGGCAAGAAAGGAAATCAAGGACCCCATATAATTTAACTTTACATCTCTCCACAGCCTCTGAGCTTCAGAGATTCTCTCGACACTAGTGTTCCTGTTGCAGCACAGGCTTGAAAAATTAAAGGTTCAATATATTTATTAATTTTGCGAGTCCTCAGTTTTGACCCAAAAACACTGTTGTCTTCTACTCGAAATCTCAAAGCAGTAGAAAAAAAAACATCTCATAATTGATGGATTCCTAGAGAAGTAAGCTTGAACAAAGGAGAAGAATGTGCTTTCGAGTAATTTAGCTCATCACTTTTGATACAACACCAGCTCCAACTGTTCTACCTCCTTCCCTCAAGGCAAATCTTTGACCTGTTTCACAAGATAATAAAAAACTAATGTGAAGAAACATCGGAAGGAACTTGTTATAGTACCAAAAAGAGAGCGTCTGTAGGATCGTTTTACCTGTTTCGAGTGGGACAGGCATGATTAGCTCGAAAACAGCTGTGACATTGTCACCAGGCATAACCATCTTCACGTTTTCGGGTAATTCTACTTTGCCCGTGATATCTGCAGTCCTCAAGTAAAACTGAGGCCTGTAGTTAGAGAAAAATGCAGTGTGACGTCCTCCTTCATCCTTTGTGAGCACGTAGATCTCTGCTTCAAACTTCTTATACGTCTTGCATGAACCAGGCTTAGCAATCACCTAATACGTAACAGTAGAGGAGAAAACTTCAGTAAAGTTGGTTTTCGAGAAAAAACTTCAGTAGTCATAAGGATGCCTAAGCTTACCATTCCACGCTGAATGTCTTCTCTCTTTAGCCCACGCAATAGAAGTCCTACATTATCACCAGCCTAGAAAAAATAGAAGCCAGGGTTTATTCAGTATCTTACATGCCCAGAACTTTTCTTTCTAATCTCTTGGTATTGGCATTACCTGTCCATTATCCAAAATCTTCTTAAACATCTCAACCCCAGTTACAGTCGATTTCATTGGAGGTCCCTGAAAATCAAATCTGCAGATTAAGCTATAGAAAATGCTTAATAATAATAGCCCCAGTAATCACCACTTTGGCAATATAAACACAATATTTATGCACACTTACATCTTTTAAACCCAATATCTCAACTTCTTCCCCCACTTTAATGACTCCCTGTTCAATACGACCAGTTGCCACAGTTCCACGTCCCTATAAGAAATAGGAAAAGTATTATAGTTGATTAAAGTACAAAATTGACTGAAAAAATATAACAAAAACGGCGAAGATTAGTATACTTGAATTGAGAAAACATCTTCAATTGGCATCAAGAAAGCTTTGTCAAGCACGCGAACAGGGTCAGGTATGTATTCATCAACAGCATCCATAAGCTTTAATATAGCTTTCCTTCCAATTTCATCATTGGTGCCCTGCAATGCAGACAGAGCAGACCCCCGGATGATGGGAATATCATCCCCAGGAAACTTGTAGAAGCTGAGAAGTTCTGTATGGAGACAAGAGTTGATGTCAGAAAGCAAGTACTTACTTCACTTGCTGAAAGAAAGATATTTTGTGACATTAAAAAAACTACAAACCACGTAGTTCCATCTCGACAAGCTCTAATAGCTCAGGGTCATCCACCACATCAACTTTGTTCAAGAAGCACACAAGTGATGGAACACCAACCTGTAGTACATCACATAGTTTAAATTGTAGCAAATAACCCAACTTAATTAAGTAGCTTCAAGTGTTCATATTGCCATAATGCAAACCTGGCGTGCAAGTAGAATATGTTCCTTTGTCTGTGGCATCGGTCCATCTGGACCTGAAACCACAAGAATTCCACCATCCATTTGCGCAGCTCCAGTAATCATATTCTGAAAGTTAGCAACTGAAGGAGTGAGGCTAAACGGTTTATCAAAGTATTTAAGGCAATCCGTATACAGTATAGTGATGCATGTTACTCTACTTAACAGTTCATATATACTAGAGTATGAAGCATTTCTAAATCATAATCCTTCTAGTAATATTAGTTCAAAACTATAACTAGATTGGAGTCAAGAGTTATAGATATGTGTGATATGTAATGTCTGCAGCGTTAAGATACAATATACCAAGGAGACAGCATACTACTATACCTTAGAATCTGACTATTAGTAACACATATACAATATCAAATAAAAAGAATGTTGGCATCTTACTTTAACATAATCAGCGTGCCCAGGGCAATCCACATGAGCATAGTGACGCTTTGCAGTCTCATACTCCACATGAGCCTAGAACAAAACAAATCAACATTAAGTAAAATAAGACGAGAAAATATTGACTGGGAAAACCTACTTATGATGTGAAGAAAATGAGAGAAGAAGATAACACAGACCGTAGCAATAGTAATTCCTCTCTTTTTCTCTTCAGGAGCTTTATCAATTTCATCAAAGGCAATAGCTTTAGCTTTGCCCTCTTCGGCAAGAACCTGAACATAAGTAGGATTACAATAGCAACTTTAAAAACAGGTACTTTAAGAATAAATTTTGGAAGTTTCATGTTGCAAGAGTATACAAATAAAAAAGGAAGCACCTTTGTGATTGCAGCAGTGAGAGTGGTCTTCCCATGATCAACATGCCCAATTGTTCCAACATTTACATGAGGTTTACTGCCACAAGATCAACAACATAAGATTAATAAAAGCAGAGAATCGATATCAATCAGGAATCAGTCACATTCACCAAACAATTTTCTAGCTTTCCTATCTACAGATAGGAAGGAAAAAACTCACTTTCGAGTAAAAGTGGCCATGGATCTCCAGAAGGAGGTACCGAAGGTAGAGGAAGAGAGATCATCTCCACCGATTGAATGAGAGATCGAGTAAGAGGAAGAAACAGAAGCAGCGCAACGAGAGTAGATCTGGGAAGAGAAAGGAACAAGGCGCTTCGAGCTAGGGTTTCGAAGAACAACGGACGCCATTTTGACTTGCACAGGAGAGAGAGAGAGAGAGAGATGGCAAACACACAGAAATGAGATTTGGGGTTTTAGTCGCCTGAGTAAGGGTTTCTGTTAAAATCTCGACCCTGCTTTTCAAACCCGACCCGACCCGGACTAAGCCCATTATACTATTTTTACTCTTATCGGGCCTTATTTTAGTAAAGATCAAAATTATTTCATAGCTTATATAAGTGTGTTGCGTATTCGAATATTTACGTGGTTTCAGATTTAGGGCTCGAAGTCCATCGTTTTACTTTTGGTTTCTTTTGAAAGGTTACCAATGCAATGGATCGTATATTATATATTCTAGTTATCCACAAATGTGTATACGTATTTTTTTAGTAAACAACTTTGTAGCTAATTTGTTGTTAAGTAGCTACCAAGTTACGACGAAAACTATGGAAGAACGATAAACTAGCGGCAATCGAGTTCTATAACAAATTTGTTGCTATAAGGTTGTGACGACTATTAATCATATGTAATCAATTATTAATAAGAAATGTCAAAACAGTTGATGTATTCAAATATTTCTTTTTGTTTACAAATCAATTTAGTCTAGACAATATTATTATTTTAACAAACCAACATAATATGATGACAAAAAAAAAAAAAAAAAAAAAAAAAAAACAAACCAACATAATAT